CAAGTTTGTTTCCTACTTACTCTAAACAAAAACCATTCTACCAATATCGCATAGACTCGACCAGATTATTTTGGGACTTCTTTGGCCAGTCCCGTAAGTAAGCCTTCGTTAGGAGGTCAGAGGATGTTCGCGTAAAAATCGCGTGCGAACAAATTAGCACACTCGGTGGGACACGTTGGTTTGGGTGTATACATTTACATAGTGGTAAGATGGCAGTACCACGTCCAAACGAAGAACTGTCTTCGGAGGGAAATACGGTTGTGACGCAAACAACTGATGTTGGCGTTGACACTGTGTCTGCGGTTTCAACGACATATAGTGGGCCTGTTGTGACGCCATGTTGACCTGAACTTAGGCCTATGATGGTAGGAACTGGGGGCAATATGAGCCTAGTTTCACAATGCCCACGCCTTAAGTCTTTGGGATGGCAACAGAGTTCATGTCGAGCTTACATCCTAGTGGTCCACTCTTTGGAGAAAATTCACCGTCAGCTTTCTCACTGTATCAAGGATTAGGGCCTTTAGCAAACCAAGTTACTAGGCCCCCAGAGTTTAGTCTTCCATCTCAATCAATTCCAACTTTCACGTTAAGTTATGTCGCTGTTATGAGACAACATATGGATGAAAGTAATCACGAAATGGTTCACATGTTGACCCAGAAAATGGGTACCATATTAAGACCATTAATACAAGATTCAACCCAGAGTTACCAACAATTGGCGACTCAGATGACATAGGCAAGTGATTTCCTAGGCGCTCCTAGGGCCTCGGGTCGACAAACTCCTCTGCCTCGACCGGAGACGCCAATTCGATAAGACGAAGTATTCGACGAAACAATTGACCATCAATCCCATGAGGTTGAACACACACTTAGGGTGGCCCAAAGGCCTCCCGTTGTTTTAGTTCACAAGAACCAAGACCCAAACTATATGGTCAGACAAGTTTGACACGAAGCCATGGCTGGCGAACCAAACTTAAAAGCTATGGTGGAACGGATTATGGTTCACAATGAAACAAACCTAGGCCTTCGACGGCCAACATATACGTCCCCACTACCCGACTTTGTTTTAAAAATAGAGTTGCCTAGGGGATGGAAGGTTCCAAAGTTCACCAAATTCACTAAGAGACCGAAGAGTCCACCGTCGAACATGTTGCCATATATCAAACTGAAGTTGATGACATAACAAACAATGACATAACAAACAATGATGGCTGGGAGATTTCGACTGAGAAGAGTTGACGAAAAGGCTAACATGTGGGTTGACAAGTCAGGAAGATGGTGAAGGAAAAGACCCAAGTCGACACCAGCAGAAGATATATTGCAAATCGACGCCAACAGGAGATGTATTGTGAGTCGACCCAAAGCTATACCGTCGAAGGTGTCAATTAATGACCAATGAAACCGACATAAAGTGTGGGAACCTTTGAGCAGGAAGGAATTTGAAGGCTGAGAATGTGAGAAGTTACAAAGATGGTGGAGCAACACGTGTCACCACCAGGACCAACATTGAGAGAAAAACAATTGTTTTTCTTTTCTATTTAAAGCAATGTCCATTTTCATTTAAGGGGTCGCATTTTTTAACATTGTCAAAGGAATACACTCTGAGTACAAAGTGTTAAGAGAAAAGAGTTCACTCCTGCAAAATGTCGTGTACACTTTTTCTTCAAGTTTGTTTCCTACTTACTCTAAACAAAAACCATTCTACCAACATCGCATAGACTCAACTAGATTGTTTTGGGACTTGTTTGGCCGGTCCCGTAAGTAAACACGCGTTAGGAGGCCAAAGGTTGTTCGCGCGAAAACTGCGTGTGAACAACATGATGAAGAAGTGGCGATGGATGACATGAAATGATGAAGGGCACTGTAACTTTAAGGACTTGTTGCAAAGCTTTGTTTTCTCTTTCGTTTTGTTTCAATACATTGTAGTTTATTTATTTATTTATGGAATAAAGTGTAAATAAAATCTTTCTTTGTATTTTGCACTTCTTATAAAATAAATAAAACTTAAAAGTAATATTTTGATTTCTCAAACAAATTCAACTTTATTCAATGCAAATGACTAATATAAATTCAATCCTTTTTTGATGTAAAACTAATGATATTTTATTTAAAAAGTGTATGATTAAAATAAACACATGGACTTGTACTTGTGAACCTCAAATAAGTTTGATAAAATCTTTTAAACTTAAGTAAAATCAAGGTCTTAAAGATAAATGACTTACACACGAAACCACTTTTTAAGGTATATAGATGAACAAATACAATTGTATTACTATGACATATTCAATGTAATATGAACCAAAAGAAATTCAACCTTAAACTTTTTATCATTTTTTCATCTTTTACTAATTCACCTAATACATGCTAATGGATGATTATAGGAGTCCATGACCAAATGAAATGGTCATGATGCAGATGAAATCTATTGAAAAAGATGAGTATGCTGATCAAAACTAACGGTATACTTGGGTTGGATAAACCCACAAAATCCGATCAAACCCACCTAAACTGATCCAAAAAAGTGGGTTTGAATGGGTAAGTAGGTCAATATGATTTTTAAAAATGAAAACCTATTCAAAATATACGGGTTTCGGATAAACCTAGACCAACCCACAAAATCCACTTAATCCAAAAAAATTACCATTAACTATGATGTATTTTATTTTTTAGGTCTCTTGATGAATTGATATACGAACTAATATTTATATATTTATCATTGGAATTTGGTTGAAGGTATTAATGTTGAAGACTTTATTTTGAATTCTGGAAGATATTTGAATAATGTTCTTGACTATTTTTTTATAATTAGATGAATGGTGACTTTGACGTATTCATACTTGGTTTCTTCAAATTTAGGCTCTTATTTTGTGAGTCATAATTTTGAATTATTTATGATATTGCACTTTGATTATTTTGATGTGAATACTAGCAACTACTAAGTAATTTATATAATTCTCGTTCTAGGTATTACCATAATACAACTTTGATCTTTGCAATTATTTTTATTATAAATTTTATAAAATGTTTAGACATTTGATGTTAAAAGAATAACACTAATACAACTAAACTTTTTTTTCAAGAAATAAATAGCTGGGGTATTTTTTGAAAAACAATATGACACATCATTTATAATTATTTAAGAAAAAAAATTAGGTGACCTACTATCCAACTCAATCAAATTCATAAATATATGATTTTATCCAAACCGACCCAATAATATTGTGAGTGGTTATTTTATCTCATACAAACCAGTATACTCAATGTAGGTTGGATTTTACATTTAGCCAAATCCAACTCAAACCCATATATGTACACCCTAATAAAAAAACACATAATTAAACGAATGAATGAGTATATGCAATTAAAAAGAGACTAAAATCGTGCAATATAATTTAGGTATGAGAAAATTGAAATATAACACACCTGATTGATTTTTATTATCCCGTATAAAGTCTTTATATATAACATAGATTTAAAAAAAAAAAAGCGAGAAATTTTATTTTAATTTTTAAAATGAACATTTTGAAAAAAATAAAAATAAGTTTTTCATAAAATACTTGCATTCTAAAAATGTTGTAACAGAGTTTTCTGATAAACTTTAATCATAAAAAAACTTTTAGACCACTCTAAACATTCACCAAATTTAAAAGATTGAAATTGAAGGTGAAAAATAAAAAATAAAAAAATAAGTAACATGACAATTTTTTGAATTTGAGAGAAAATAGGATATGCATTTTCAATGAGATTTCCGTTAAACTCTAAGGGTCTGTTTGGTTCAAATGAGGGGGAGGAGAGGGGAGGGATTTTAATGAAGGGGAGGGGAGAGGAGGGGAGGTGAAGGAATTTTTTAATCAAATAAGTGTTTGGTTCAAAAGAGAGGAGGGGAGGGGAAGGGAGGGATTTTAATTAAAAATGTGTTTGGTTCAGAAGGGGAGGGGAGGGGTTTTATTAATAATTTACATTTTTATCCTTATGAGCTTATATAAGTCATATGATATTAAAATGTGAAAAATTCCTGCGTATTTTTGTTCGTAATAAAATTTCTAATATTGAGTGATTAAAAAAGTATTTATTTGTCACATAAAGTTAAAAAATCGAGTACAATCGATTCGACTTATAACTTTTCAACATAAATTAAACTATATGCCAATAACATCGTTTAAATTGTGATGAATCATATAACAAAACAAATATATAAAATAACTTATTACTAAATATTAATGGTTCAAAATATTTAATAAAATGAATAAACAAAAATAAATAAAATGATATGGTTTACAATTTGATATAAAAGAAAATATGATAGAGTACATAACAAAATTAAAAGAAAAAAACGAATATAACGAAACATAATTTTTTTTATAAAAAAAAGACAATGATTATGATTTATATTAATTATAAAAATTATAAAATAATTTGAAGGTGGAGAACAATTATAATAAGTTGATGAAAACAATCGAGAAAAAACAATAATACAAAAGATAACAAATAGTTTTGAAATACTGAAATTAAACTGAGGATATTTTAGTAAATATAATAATTTTTAAATATCAAAACTCATATTCCCTCCCCTCCCCTCCAAATCCCCCCAATTCGGAGGGAACCAAAAAATGTATTTTGGAGGGATTTTGCTTCCCTCCCCTCCCCTCCCCTCCCCTCCTAAAATTTGAACCAAACATATTTAATTAAAAATTTCCCCTCCCCTCCCCTCCCCTCCCCTCCCCTCCCCTACATCTACCCCGAACCAAACACACCCTAAATTTTACAGTGTCAAAGTATTCACTATTTATTACCCTCACGTTATTGCTGAAATGAGTTTGATTAAAAACAAGTTATTTTCCGTTTACATGTACCTTGCCCGAAATACCCCTACCATCTGTCATCCATTCAAATCCGAATTTCCATTTCTCGCCATTTTCTATCTCTTCTCTCTCTCCTTTCTGTTAACCAGAGCGCCAACAACACACACTGTGAAAAACCTGCCTCTTCTTCTCTCATCTATGGAGTTTCAGAGACGTCAAGGTCACTGCCTCTCCGAGAGGAAGGGGCAAAAGCGAAAGCTAGACGAAGAATCGCAGGACGAACCACAGATCTCGGCGGCGCCGCCTACCTCCGACGAGCGTGCGGCACTTCTAACTGAAGTGGAAAATCAGGTCAACATCCTCGAGTCGACTTTCACGTGGAATGAATCAGACAGAGCAGCGGCAAAGCGAGCCACTCATGCGCTCGCTGATCTCGCGAAGAATGGTAAATCGATGTCTCCGATCTCGCCACGTGTTACTTCGTTCGCTTGAATTGATATGGAAGTGTGGTGTTTCTATTTCGTTGCTCCTGTTTATCGCTTCCATGTGCATGTATGAATCTATTCGTGGTTGTGTTTTCAGAGGAAGTGGTGAATGTTATTGTGGAAGGAGGTGCTATTCCTGCTTTGGTTAAGCATCTTCAGGCGCCGCCTGTGGAGGATTGCGATCAGAAGGCGTTGCCGTTTGAGCATGAAGTTGAGAAAGGAAGTGCTTTCGCTCTAGGACTTCTTGCCGTCAAGGTAATTTGATTTGTATGCAACTGTTTTTTTTTTCTTCTTTCTGAAATTCCATATTCAACTGTTTTGAAGACTTAGTGAATTAGTTGAAGACTTATTTCATATTGAATCTACTTATTAAGTTGAGTGATAATAATGCTTTTTGTTTCTATAAGTATTCCCCTTTTGTTATAGCAGTATTTTGGATAAACTATACCAGAGAGTTGTTAAGCCATTTGTAGGTGACATGTTAGAAATGAGAAACTTAGAATAGAACAGAACAGGAGTTTGCATAATTAGACGGAGGAAATATATCATATTGATTCCATTTCTTTTTACTTGCATTTAAAGCTATCAAATAGCGGCGCCATGGCCGCCAACATAGTGGTTTTTGGGCTCCGTATTGCTGGGTTTTTCCACCATACTCCGCTACAATGGTGCCGTATAGCGGCTGGTGTGGTGGGATTTTGGCTCTCTGCCATGGATCGACATCCGCCATCGACAACACTGATTTAATGATCAGAGCACAACCAGACACAGTTAAAAAAAAAGTTGTATGTTTTGATATGTTAAGAGTTTAGCTGAGAAGAGCATAACACACTGTTCCTTGCTGTTTTATTTTCATATATTAAACACTTTAAACTGTAGTGTATGAATTATGTGGAATTACACAATTACGTGGAAATGTTGATGTTTTATATATCAGCACCCAATGTCAGTACTTTTTGTTTAATTTGTTTTGACTGTACTACCGTTGCTTCGCCCCATTCCGAAGACGAGGGATCGAAACTGGATGTACTTGGGTAAACATAATTTTAAATGACAAGTTAGTTTTATAAAATATATTTTGGTTATAATATAGTTTGAAGTAAAATGATAAATATTTGGATTTATTTATTACTTCTAGTCAAACTGGTTTGGAGGGATAATCATTTTTTTTCCTGATGGTAACTATTTTAACTAAACTCACATTTTATGTGAAGTAAAATCAATTTTGTTACTACTGTGTGAAACCAACACACTAAATCACATAGAAGAGCCAAGGAAACCAAGGTTATCAAGATCGGGAGGGGTGGTAAGATCGTAAAACATAAGATCGGAAGATCCCACCCAATTATTTTTGTAAGATCGAGAAGGGATAGCAAAATACATTAAACATAAGATTATAACAAAATCGTAAGATCTATATATTTGGAGTTTTTACATGATGGTTTGGTAGGCAAGTGTATTTGTGGGATAATAGCCTCCGACAAACCATAATTGTTGCGCATTGCCATCTTATCATTGGGTGCTGATATAAAACATCAACATTTCCACGTAATTGTGTAATTCCACATAATTCATACACTACAGTTTAAAGTGTTACGATACAAGGATGCCTGAGAGTGCTACGATTAGAGAAAGATCATTTTCGGTGCCGGTGTGGTCAAGATCGAGCTTTTTGAAGCAAGATCGTGAAAAAAACGTGTCGGGCCTTTTTTTTGGCCTCAATTATAATTTTCATGTTTTTGTGTATGCTTGTGTATAAATATATATGAAATTACCATTTTTCCCTTTGGTAGGATTTCACATGCCATGCTAACGATCCGAGTTTTACGATCTTTCACAAGCCGAACGATCCTACTTAAGATCTCGTGCTTGACTGCATTGATGGTAGTGGCCAAAAATCGGCTGATCGTGGCCGGAATTGGCCAAGATCACACTAAATCAATGTTTTTACGAATTTTTTTTAATGATTGGCTACAACACGATTCTACTTAAGACCTGGATCGTCGGGGGGAGTGAAATCGCAAAATTGTAAAATTTTAAGATCTAGATTGAGATCTTGGCAACCTTGAAGGAAATTGTTAAGAGTCCCACATCGGACACTAGATGGCATGAACATGTGTTTATAAGTGTGGGAAATCCTCATTCTACCAACCGGTTTTGTAGGATTGAGTTAGGCCCAACCACATTTCTTAACATAATATCAGAGCCTGGTTCCGATCCAGGGACCTGTGTGTTATGGACCCACCATGGACAATCCTCACTCTACCAACCAGTTTTATAGGGTTGGGTTAGGCCCAACCACATTTCTTAACAGAAACAACCAATATCCAGTCATAATAAAATTTAAGGCTTTAGAATTGATTGAATTTATAAGAATATTGGTATTGGCAATAATGCACATGATTTGCCTTTGTGTATCAACTCCATAAGGCAGATTGTGTTAAGCACCTCCTAGCTGCTATGAATCATTTATTGATCAGAATTTGTCCGAATGCAGTGTTTTGTCTCAATCTGGACAAGACACTTGCTTTCCCTTAAATTTTTCTGATGACGGTAACCAGCTATGTTGGAACTTATGTGACAATTCTGGAATGAAAAAAATATAGGGTATAGGTGGTTAGGTTAGAAAAAGGTTATGGGATGACATGAAAGCAACTTGTTATTTTTAAAACGCTCACAAAATAAGAGTAAAATCTTAATGCATTGAACAAAAACTAGAAATACTAAGAAAAATTCTTGAGCTTAACCCGGCAAAAAAACAACTGATTTTTTCGATGACCAATTATGAAACAGTAAAAATGCTTTTGAAATGTTCAATTAAAACAAATGTCTCTCACATGTCTCAAAATTTGGGTTAGCCTAACTCATCTCTACAAAACCGGCTTGTAGAGTGAGGATTGCCCCCACTTATAAGAGCACATGTTCGAGCCATATATTGTCTGATGTCGGATTCTTAACACACCCCTCATGCCCAAGACTGAACATCTAAAGGGTGGAAATAAATGTGGGTGACTCGATAGCGGAAATCTGATAGTAGGTGGTCCACCAAATCTTAAATCAGACTCTTGATACCATGTTAAGAAGTGTGGTAACGCCTAATCCATCCCTACAAAATTGACTTAACCAGATTGTAAGAGGATTGTCCCACACTTATAAACACAACACAAGGCATATCTCTAAGCAATTGGGACTAAATCCACCCCTTCAAACTCAACACAATGAAGGTGTTGGGGGCTGCAATGAAGGCAAGCCAAATGCCTCAATTAAGGCGACTAGGGGCGGACTGCAATTAAAGCAGAAATTCCAACAATAGGTATAAAATAATAGATAATAGATTAGGAGAAGGGAGCTTTCTCCGTTGGTCCTATCAAAGAACCAGCATTTCGATTTATTCTGGGACTCTGGTGAGGGTGTCTCTGGCTATGGGTTTTGGAGTTCTGAACATTAATTTATGTATCCTGTTATTGGCTTTGGTAATGAGATGTGAATCTGTATCATATAATTTCCTTTATAAATTCATGTGCCGACACTTTCCATGACAAGTACCGTGTCACTTCTCACCAGATTTTGCATAATATATATGACATATATCATGTATATATAACGCTTAGCCACACTTTTCTTTTGGACAAATTTATGTCTCTAAAATAAAGGTATAATTGCTCTATTACTATCTTATTTGAAATGCTTTCTACAGCCAGAACATCAGCAGCTAATTGTTGACAGTGGCGCCTTAACTTACCTTGTTGATCTTTTGAAGAGGCATAACCAAGGCTTAACTTCTCGTGCCATTAATAGTCTCATTCGTAGGGCTGCAGATGCTATTACTAATCTTGCACATGAGAATAGCAACATTAAAACCCGTGTCAGGTTTGCTTCTTCATGCACTACCATATATGTGGACTCAATTTGGATTTTCTTTATTTCTTAGTATTATATCATTTATATGTGGACTTTCTGTGTAGGATGGAAGGTGGAATTCCACCACTTATTCATTTGCTCGAGTTTGCCGATACAAAGGTGCAAAGAGCTGCTGCTGGTGCACTGAGAACCCTAGCTTTTAAAAATGATGAAAATAAGAATCAGGTAGGTGGTGGTCATTTTTTCAAAGTTGAGTTTTGAATATGATACAACTAGTAACACAACATCATGATTGCCAGATTGTTGAGTGCAATGCTCTTCCGACTTTGATTCTAATGTTGCGTTCTGAAGATGCTGCTATTCATTATGAAGCGGTATGAATAAGGCAACTTCAATTATGAATTTTAGTTTTTGCAATAATTATGACCTGTATTTCTCATCCACCACATGCAATTAATTGGATTGTCTTACAGGTTGGTGTGATTGGAAATCTAGTTCACTCTTCTCCTAATATAAAGAAAGAGGTTCTTTTTGCTGGTGCTCTACAACCAGTTATTGGATTACTTAGGTATATTATCAGCTCTGGACTCTAATATTGCAGGGCTCTGGACTCCAATATTTTTGTTTCTTGACAATAATTTCTACAATATATAATTAAATAAGCATGTTTCAATTAATGTATTCTCATAACTTTCAATAGCTCCTGCTGCTCTGAAAGTCAGAGGGAAGCGGCATTGTTACTTGGACAGTTCGCAGCAACTGATTCAGATTGCAAGGTATATATAAACTTCATGATTGAAAGGATAGTCAAAAACTATAGTTTAAAGTAATTTTTCAAAACCTCCAATTCAAACTTTCAAGTTTAGTTCTCTTTCCTTTATTGTATATTTTTTACTTGTACTAAAAGGAAAATGAGATAATTAAGCTGGGAGGAATTCATAATTCCATTTTTATGCTTGTTGCTTGAGTAGTTAAGACTTTTGAGAGATGGAAAAGACATAATCAACTACTGAATTTCTATATTTGGAATAAAACGACTAACTTTTAGTTGGGGGCAATTGTTCAACAACAACGATTCCAAGTTTGGTTGTGTTGTATTATTTACATCTTGCTATAATAAAGACTCCATTGGTTGTAGAATACTACCTCCATTTTTTTGGTCACTCTGTCAATTTCAGACTTAATAAGAAATGTAGTTAATTTTGTATAGGAAAGAAATTATGATAGATCTTAAAATTATCCTTCATTAATGATATAAGAAAAATTAAAAGAATTGAAAAAAAGAGGAAGTAATAAATAGTAAATGGTATGATAGGAACAAAGACATTAATATTTCATTGGTATTGTATGGTGACTTATAATTTGGTACAACTATTCTTTTGCAAAGTGACAATAAAAATCATAGGTACAGAGAGGTGCTATTGCTACTATTGCTACTATTACAACTATTCTTTTGCAAAGTGACAATAAAAAACATAGGTACAGAGAGGTGCTATTGCTACTATTGCTACTATTACAACTATTCTTTTGCAAAGTGACAATAAAAGACAGTAATTGATTATATTGGCACTATTGCTACTCCTGTGGCTATGATGGTGCACCATATACTTATGTTCTTGCTCACACTTCTTACCATTTGTTCCACATGGTTTGTTTAGGTTCACATTGTACAGAGAGGTGCTGTCCGACCTTTGATAGAGATGCTTTCGTCTTCTGATGTACAACTCAGAGAAATGTCTGCCTTTGCATTAGGGAGATTGGCCCAGGTTATTTTCTTTTCTTCTTTTCCTTATTTATAATTCAACTGTGTATGTTTGGATTGTAATTTGCCATTAGATTCCTGGAAACATGTTAGTTTTTTCTTTCCTTTTGTAAGTTTTTTGGATTTGCAACACATCTTATACTGTTATACTCTCCATCTTCCCGATAATCAATTTATCTAGTGTTCTCATAGAACATAACTGTTGAAATATAATATATTATTTCCTTTTCTTATTATTCTAAATTTATGTTTATTTTATTTTCCTTATATCTTCCCTGAAATTACGGAATTGATTGATTGTTTTTTTCCCTATAAAAGAATCCCCTGTATTCAAAACAATATCACAATTTTATTCTCTACAATAACTCATCTCAGTAATATATTACAACATTTTATATACAATACAATGTTTCCATATATAGGCTGGACTCTTTTTAACATATAAACATTCCTTTTAGTATGATTGGGTTTTTCCCCTCCAATTTCAGGACACACATAACCAAGCTGGTATTGCACACAGTGGTGGCTTAGTGCCACTGCTCAAGCTCCTTGACTCAAAAAATGGGTCTTTGCAACATAATGCTGCTTTTGCTCTTTATGGCCTTGCAGAGAATGAGGTATGATATAACTGAAAATTCAAATGAAGTGGACATATTCAGTTTTACAACATCAACAACCAAGCCTCGTTTCACTAGGTGGGATCGGCTACATGGATCAAACCATAACATTATATCAGAATTCCTGTTAATACCCAAACCATTGACCTCAATCTTTCTTAGATGTTTTGCCCATAGTTTTTCTTGGCTTTCATCTATCTCTAGCGGCTGAGCCATTCTCCATCATATCTACCCCCCTCTATACTAAATCTGCAGGACTCCTCCACACATTTTTAGACCACCTAAGTCTATCTTTTTATTGAATAGATGCTACCCCAACTCCATGTCTCTAATATAATCATTCCCAATCCTTTTGTCTAGTATTATTATTTCCACTCATCCAACACAACATTCTCATCTTTGATACTTTGAGTTTATTCCCATGTTGGCATTTTACCACCCAACAGTCTGCGTGTTTTATCTTTTACATGAGCAGTATCTCTTTATCACATACAGACTCAAAAATCTCCGTTTCAACCACCCCACTTGAATTCTATGGTTTACATGCCCTCTAGTTTAAATAGTGGTTACTTCAAAAACACAAGCAATTAATTATTCTCTTTTTTATTTTATTTTTCCCTACAGGATAATGTGTCTGATTTCATTAGGGTAGGTGGAGTTCAAAGATTACAGGAAGGAGAGTTTATTGTTCAAGTAAGTTTTCTCTTTAATACCTACTTTTAGCTTTGATTTTTTATCCTTGGATTTCTGTATAAAAGGGAATTACTGAACAAAGGAAATAGATTCTTCGTGGGTGTATATTGACCTATATGGATATGGTTTCTATTGCAGGCGACTAAAGATTGTGTTTCCAAGACATTGAAAAGATTAGAGGAGAAGATTCGCGGTCGTGTATGGTGTCATACTAATACTACTTTCTACATTTTGTTGTAACTAGCATGGGAAATGATGAAAGTGCAACTAGTGTTTCAATGATCAGTTCTATATGTTCTTGCTTTCAAATTTGTAATCCATCAATTTTCTTCTTATAGGTGCTGAGCCATCTATTATATCTCATGCGAGTTTCAGAAAGGGGTTTTCAAAGGCGAATTGCTTTAGTTCTAGCGCATCTTTGTTCTGCAGATGATCAAAGAAGAATTTTTATTGAACACCATGGTAAATACATCTTCACAGCAAAATACTTTAACGGGTTTGATCATTGTTGTTCCATGTTGTATAAACTCCTTTTTGTGCTTCTTCTATTTCAAAGTTAAGTGTCTGTCCATGTAGGTCTTGAGTTGCTTATCGGGCTTCTTTGCTCATCTAGCACCAAGCAGCAGCTTGATGGTGCCGTGGCTTTATGCAAGTTGGCCGATAAAGCATCAACTCTGTCTCCTGTAGATGCTCCTCCTCCTTCTCCAACACCTCAGGTAGGCTTAAATCCATTTGGATTTTCCTCAATCCTCAAAATCGTTACAAACATAGAAATGTAAAAAAAAAGGTAGGGTATATTTGGAATAGTGACATTGAGTCTAATTGAAACTAATAATAATAGATGATTTTTTGCTTATATTTAAGACAATTGAAATTTTTTATTGTTTATATTTGAGATCGGTGGGAGTATTAAAATACAAAGGCATTCTTTATGATGTGAATAGGCTTTAGCCAAAGTTATCAATCCCAGATAGCAGAACGTAGCAGCCGACCCCAAAAATGGGAAAGTGGGATAGGGGATAAAACACATAACACTATCCATAAAAGAAAAAAGAAAAGGCGAAACAGATTGAGTAAAAGTAAAAAAGGAAGAAAAGGAATAAATTTATTAAAATACTATTACTTAGAAGAAAAAAAAAACTGAGGATAGATAGTCAACTGCTATATAAACATTTATGCAGTTTATTATGTTAATTAATAGTATTAATCTCAGCCTAGTAAATCTGCTACTGTAATATATAAATTAGTGCACTTTATTATCCTAATGAATAGCAATTAGGATTATTCTAATTAGCAAATATCAGTTAGGAATCCAGACATTAAACCTAATGACAGAAATAGCCTAAGTAAAAGAGGAAGAAGACTTTGAAAAAAGACAGTACGTAACAAAGAAGAAAGAAGAAAAAAAGAGAGGAAGAAAGAAGAAGGTAAAGAAGAAGAAAGGAAAGAAGAGAAAAGAAAGAAGAGAAGAAAACTTGAAAACTTAAGCGAAAGCGTGTGAGAAAAAGACCGATTACTCTGTTTTGTGTTCTGTGTTCTTTTTTTAAGGGTAATTCTGGGTTTTAGCTTTCAAAACTGATGAAATCCGCTCGGGCCAGGAAGCGTCCGCTCCCACTATCCGCTAAACCTCAAATAGCATCCGCTATCTCAAACTGGGATGAGAACCGCTCCTCCATAGTGGAGGGTCACCGCTCCGGCACGCTATCCCGGGATAGTGCCGCTATCAATAACTCTGGCTTTAGCCTTTATGTATTCAAAATAGTTAGTTTTTTCTTTTTTCTTTTTGATCTCTGACATGGGAAAAAGTTGTATCCTTTTTTTTTTATCAATCCTTTTTCAACTGATATGACCTTTCAACACACATTCAAGAAGTTAAGGAGGGAGGTTTTATTTAATTTTTATTGCATACACAAATCCTACCATTTGTTTAAAATACTTTGGTATGTAAGTTTTTCTTATATTGGTCACATGCCATGAATAGTAGTGAGTGGGTAATACAAGGACTTCTTAATGGATTTACATTATACATGACATATTCCAACTGCTGTGTTGGCATTTTAAGTTTATGTGAATACGAGTGATGGTGCCTTTTTAATAATATATGGTCCATTTAAAAATGAGCATCTGATGGTCTAATAACCAGAAGTAAATATCAACGTCTTGCTGTTTTCCATGCCTTCCACCTGCATAAGAATCTGGGTGCTGAGCTCCCTCTTCATTCTATCTTGTCTATGTAATTATGGGGTGTCGTATTCCTAAAGGTTGGAATATTTATGATTATAGACTATTCTTCTTGCAGGTCTACTTGGGAGAGAAGTTTGTAAACAATGCTACACTGTCTGATGTTACATTTTTGGTTGAAGGTGATGATCCCTTTTGTTCTTATTGTTTCACTCTTAAAACTGATGCATGGCTACTGTCTCTTAAGATATGGTATTGTAGCTTCAGTTGTCATTTACAGTTAATCGCCTAATCTCTGTTCTTTTTTACAGGCAAACGATTTTATGCTCATAGAATTTGTCTACTTGCATCTTCAGATGCATTTCGTGCAATGTTTGATGGTGGTTATAGGGTATGTACAGAGCTCCTACACCGAATCATATTTTCCCATCCTTAAAGAGCTCCCCCAAGAAATAAGGATACCACAAGAAGCAACTTTTTTTTCTTATTACAAGAAGTGTTGTCTAAATGAAGAAAGACTGCTTTATTGACTTTACTTGTTTTATTGAACTACATTATTTCATCAAATGTTTTTTATTTTTTTATTTTCATGGTCTTCAACCTCCTGACAACTTTTACTTGAAACTTGGCAGAGTTGAATGGTGAATTTGGATTGAAGTGTATAACCATCAAAATTTATATTTTAATTCAAAGCAAAAAACCAATTGAAATGTCTCTGATGTACAAATGTATTTTATTGCGTATGCAGGAGAAGGATGCAAGAGACATAGAGATCCCAAATATTAGATGGGAGGTTTTTGAGTTGATGATGAGGTCTAATAAATTCTGCAGTCATGTTTTATAAAAGTTTATGTGAAAGTTTCTAATAATTTGTGAATATATCTTAGTTTATTTGATCTTTGTCCAGATTTATATATACCGGATCAGTTGATGTCACTCCAGATATTGCTCAAGACCTTCTTCGAGCAGCTGATCAATACCTTTTAGAAGGACTCAAGAGACTCTGTGAGTACACAATTGCACAGGTGAGCTAGGAAAATTAGTTGTTTGGACAATATTTACTCTATTTCTCCTAAAAATAATTCTCGCCAGTTGCATCTTTGTGTGTGCAATATGAGTGCCTCATGACCTGATGTTCTTGTTGCAGGATATATTACTAGAGAACGTGTCGAGTATGTATGAACTTTCAGAAGCCTTCAATGCAATATCATTGAGGCATGCATGCATTCTTTTTATCTTGAAGCACTTTGATAAGTTGAGTGCAAGGCCAGGGTATTGATCCTATTCCCTCAATTCTATGTTGGACATTTATATTGAACTAATAACTTGGTACTAGTACATTGTTTAGTATTGCTCTGTCTTCGTGTTTGTTGTAGTTTCGGTGACTCATGCTCTTAACCTAAATGGTTTTTGATATGTGAAGTACCATGTACTGTATAGTTGGCATCACTTCCTTTTCTTTTCTGTTATGTTATGCTCTTCTGCTTTGCTTTAGACAAAGTTCATTCAGGCACAATTCTTGATTGCGTGGCACAATTTTTCTGCAGGCACTCTCTTCTGATTCAGCGTACAATTCCAGAGATCCGCAATTACTTTGTAAACGCCCTTACAAATGCCAACTCCCATAGACAGTAATGTGCAGCCATTCTATTCTTGACCTCTAACCAATTGTGATGTACAGAATGTAGATGTTATTGCTTGTGTTGAACCAGGGAAAGGGTCTCTCCTTTATGGTATATATGTTGATTAAAAAAAATATCTTTCTTTTTTATCCTTTTCTTGATGCGGTGTAAACCCCTTTCTCTCCCTAGCATATCATAGATACAGCAAATAGCCTTCGCGAACGTTGTTTTTTCATATGCAATATTGTGAGGGTTCTATTTCTCATGTGATTTGTACATTCAGGGAATTAGGAATGTTGTGTTTATGATGATAAATGTAAAATATTGTTTCCCCAATGTATATATCACAATTAGATACAAAATATTAAACTGCTGGGTAATTTATGCCTGACCGTTAAATACTGTTGTTATCTGACATGTAACTGTTGTAAGCTATTGTAGCAAATACTTGATTTAAATACTTGTATGGAATTGAAAATAATCAAATTGTGAAGTTCAGTTTCATACACTGAAAATTTCCTTATGAACTATTCATTTATTCTGAAGTTTAGTTTCATACACAAGAACTATAAGAACTTACGATATATTTCACGATCTGTTCATGACACTCATAAAATTTACATCCATATAATGTGTCAATTAGTGTGTCTATTCATTGCATTGCATTGCAAGCGGTGATAAACTGTTGTACATGCATTTATTGGACAGCAACAATGTTCAAGTTGTCACATGTGAGAATAGATGTTTATTACATGGCATACAAGACATTTTTTATACAGAATTATAATACTTGTTTATTTTTTCTTCGAATTATAATACATGTGCTTTTTTTTTGTTGCTCTTCCCACCCTAAATAGTGAAGAGTCACGAAACCCGAAATTTCCCTATTGAATGATAACTTGTTTCACAATTACATAGAATAAAAGTCAATGAATTACATTAATTAAACCGTTATAGGAAAATTTCATATCAAAGAGACAAATCTAAGAAAACTAATCACTATGTTATAAAAAATGAAAACAAAAGCGATTACATGCAAAGGAGTTTTATAAGTGGAATCTATTACCACAACATTCTAAAAAGCGTTAAACAACTTTAAAAAATCCATATAGGACTAGAAAATATCTTTGACAATTTTAGAATCAACAACCAATCTATACATATACACAATTTATCGTCAGCTAAACATTTCATTATATGTTGCAATTTTCATCTTAGACTCTTGGTAGATATGATTCGGACAAAGTAAAGTTTTTTCTCCTTTCTCTTCAAGTCTTTTTGAAGCTCTTTGAAAATTTTGAAGAGTTCTTCGAATTTTAGAATCCAAAGCATATTTAAGTGTTCGAATTTTAGAATATAAAAACTGTCAATATACACCATGCTCATAGAAGCACTACTATCTAGGGTACACCTGAGTAATGGATGCTTCATCAACAGAAAGTGTAGCTGATTTGCTTGTAGTTGTAGACTTCTCTGAATTCTCAAAGTCATTTCTCAAAAAGCTTTTATCAGATTTGCTACTGATATAACTGAAGGTGAGAAAATACTTAGAAGGGGGGTTGAATAAGTATGACAGAAAATAATCAAAGATAAAAACTCAAGTATTTTTATCCTGGTTCGTTGAACTCAACTACTCCAGTCCACCCTTTTCAAGAGTGATTTGCCTTTCTCAACAAGGACTTAATCCACTATTCAAATCAACTGATTACAAATAGCAACACCTAAGAACAACTGTTCTTAGTCTTCTCAAGAGCTACTGATCTAACCTAGATCCTCTTAAGGAAAACAACACCTAAGAACAACTGTTCTTAGTCTTCTCAAGAGCTACTGATCTAACCCTAGATCCTCTTAAGGAAAACTTCCTTTACAAATTAATGTAATACAATGTAAGAGTAATAAATTGCTTCTATGAAAGCTATAAACACAACTGTGTTATTTCTCTAAGTTTAGAACAATGTATGAACAGCAAAGAATATGAGAGCTTTTCGCGTGAGAGTGTTCTTGCAATGATTTTCGTCTTTCTCTATTTTCTCTACTATATTCGTCACTGAAGAAAGAGCTATCATTTCCTTTATATAGCCACTTGAATATTGGAGAGAATATTTTACCGTTGGAGAAGATATTTCCAATATCAAAAAGTACTGTCCTTTGTACTATTGCAGCAGAGAGACGGCGCACAAAATGTGGGTGTAGCAATTGTCTGCTGAGCTGTGAATTTACCATATATGGAATGTATCAGAGGAATAATCTTCTTGCAGAGATTTATGTCTATCCCAATTAAGGAAAGATTTGCTGGCATATTCCAACGGATATATTAAAATAATCTTCTTCAAATAATTCTTCAGATAGTTCAGATCAACAATCAATATCAGAGTCTTCAGTCTTCAGAATCTTCTGGAAACTTCAGAGCCTAAGATGTTCTTCAGATGTTGCTGAATCAGAGTCTGGTGCAGCTGTGTGCTTGAAGCGTAACATGCTCTTAGATCAGAGTCTTCACTCAGATCAGAGTCTTCTCTCATTCAGAGTCTCTTCACTCAGAGTCTTCTTTCATTCAGAGTCTCTTCACTCAGAGTCTTCTTTCATTCAGATTCTTGATAATATATGCAGCGTGTTGTATCTTCAGAATCTTGATGACTAAGCTCTTATACTTCAGATTCTTCTAATCTTCAGATGCTCTTGAGCCATTCAGAATTTATTGTTCACATCAAATTTGCTCTTTAAGATTAAAATCTTTTGTGCCTGTAGAAAACAGTTTAGAACAAATTTAGAGAGTATAATTCTTGTATACAAATTATCATTAATGTTATCATCAAAACATAGAGATATTACTAAGACACAATCTGTGCTCTTACAATCTCCCCCTTTTTGATGATGACAAAACATGAGAAATTTGTTCAATAAAAATATGAATTAAAATTACTCCCCCTGAGATTAACAATCTCCCCCTGAAATGAATACTCTAATGGAATTAGATACTTCCCTTTCTGGTTGAGTACATTTCAGATTCAGAGCCTGATTGAAGCCTGGTTGACATATGTTTGACTTCTAGAGTCAAAGCTTGATGCCATATTAAAGCTTGATGCCAGATGAACAACTTCAGAACACCTGATTGTTTATCTTGCCATTTCCTGTCTTGAGTTATCTTCTAGATCATAGTACTCAAGGTTAGATATCAGAGTCTGGTCTACTCAGATTTAGCTATTTTTGATCAGGTTCTGAAAAGATAGATCTCAGGAAAAACTTCAATGAAATTTGTCAGATTTTTTAATAATATCTGGGACACTTAAATTCAAAGAATGTTAGTAACATGTCTGACTTAGTTCAGATAATTGCTTATAGATTTGAACAATCAGATTCTATTTTGTTTCTCCCCCTTTTTGTCATAATCAAAAAGAATTTTAAAAGATAGTAAAGATGCAGAAGAAACACATATCCAGATAAGCAAAAAGATCATAGTCATTAAGTCAAGAGAACATCTAGATTCAGATAAAAGCATATAAAACATATCAGAAGAAAATCAAAACAAAGCAAAACATGAAAAACTTGTGCAAAACATCAAGTAGGTTTAGCAGATGAGGCTTGTTGAGAAGCAATGAGTTGCAGCAGTGCTGTAATCCTTTCTGAATTTTCATCTTGCTTAGCCATCCAAGTTTTCATTTCTTCATTTGTTTTCTTTTGATCAACCATAAAATCCTTAAGTTCTTTGACATCCTTCTGAAGATCTGTAGATTCTGAAACAGTAGATTCTGAAACAGGCTGAGTAACATCAGGTGCAGGAATTTCTGGAGGTGGAGGAGCTTCTAGAAGAAGAATAGGAGTAGTGTTTCTCTTAATCCGTTTTTGATAAGCAGCAAACCTTACTTTTGACAATCTAAGACATTGAGTCCTGATTTTCAAAGCCTCCCTATTCAGTCTGTAAAGATATTTCTTCCAAACAGCGTTAGCAGCCTCTTTGTCCATAGTAGTCATGCAAACATCCATAATGTCAGCAAAGTCTGAGACATTATCCTTATCAAAATCTCTTAACAGAGTATAAACACGTGATCCCAATTCTGCTTCATCAGGGATTCTGGGTTTTCTTGGTTGGGTTAGTTGTGTTTGTGGTGTTTGTTCAGAAGGTTGAGGTTGTGAAGATGGATGTTCAGATGTTTGTGGTTCAGAAGGTTGAGGATTGATTTGTGGTTCAGATGTTGGTTGGTTGGTTTGAGGTTCAGATGTTTGTTGGTCAGAATGTTGTGGTTGAGGTATTGAGGGAATTGGTTGGGTTTCTGTTGGTTGTGGAGTGTTTTGGATTTCAAGAGGTTGTGGAGTGAGAGTTTGAGTTGGGGAATTTTGTGGAGAAGGTGGATGTTCAGAAGTTGAAGATAAAATGACAGACTGGTTTAAAGGTGTGACATCTAATATCTCATCAGGTTGGTCAGAGTGTTCAGGGTGAACATCCTCTGGAATGGTATATTCTGGGATAGTGTTTTGTGGTTGTGGTGTTGTTTGTTGAGTTTGTTGTGGAATTTCTGTTTGTATGTTTGTTGGTTGCTTGGATTGTGGTGTATGAGGGGGGACAGAAGATGGTTTAGAGATAATAGTTTTAGAAGGTCTGGATCTTCTAAATCTAAGTGGGGAGTCAGAGGGTGTGAGGGTATCAGAATGATGAATAGGATTAGAATCAGTGTTAAATACCTGTTTCAGAGTATCTCTAATTTCTTCAAAAGTTGCTGCAGGAGGATTTGGTTGAACCTTCTTCAGCTTCTTCCTTTTCTTCTTCTTTTCAGCATCTGAATGCTTCCTTTTCTTCTGATGACCTTCACTATCAACTTTTCTCTTACGTCTTCTTTCCCTTGTCAAATCAGGAAGAACTTGGCCTTCCTTCTGCAAAAGATTGGCAGGAATCTCAACACCATCTCTTAGGCAGCGAGCAACATACTCAGCAATAATTTCTCTAGGTTCATCTGAGGTGAATAAAGGAAAATCCTTAACAGGAATCCTTCTTCCCCTAACTTCTTCAGAGTTAGTTTT